CATCATCTCAATAATACAGAATATGCATTTGACAAAATACAACATCCTTTCATGATAAAAAAAAAATGCTTAAAAAAAAATAAGGTACAGAAGGAACTTACCTCAACATAATAAATGTCATGTATAACAAACCCACAGCTAACATCAGAGATAACAGTGAAAGATTGAAAGCTTTACCTCAAAGATCAGGAACAAGCAAGAATGCCCCCTCTGATAGCTCTTATTCAACACAATACTGGAAGTCTTAAAGCAATTAAGGAAGACAAAGAAATAAAAGCATTCAATAATAAAAGGCAAAAAAGTAATTGAACAGGTCTTTAATATCCGCCCCTCCCCCTGCCCGTCAACAATAGATAGATCACCCAGACAAGAAATAAATAAGGAAACAGCAAATTTGAACAACAGATGTAACAGACATGTACAAACATTCTTTCCAACAGCAACAGAATATACATTCTTCTCAAGCACACAGGAAACACTCTCCAGGATACATAATATGTTAGTGACCACAATAATATAAAACTAGAAATCAGTAATAGAAGGATAATTTGAAAATTCACAAACACATTAAACAGCACACTTCTGAACAACAGGTCAAAGAATAAATCAAATGGGGAATCCAAACATATTTTGAAACAAATGAAAATTAAAACACAATACTAAAATTTATGGGATGTAGGACAAGAAGTTCTAGAAGGAAAACTTATAGCAATAAATGCCTATATTAAGAAAAAAAAGATATCAAATAAACAACCTAACTTTACATCTCAAGGAACTAGAAAAGCAAAATCAAAAACTAAACATAGCAAAGTAAGGAAACAATGATCAGAGCAGAAATAAATGAAATGGAGACTAGAAAAACAATAGAGAGCTGGGAAGGGGCAGAAAGAGAGGTAGAGAGAGAATCCCAAACAGGATCTCCATTGTCATGTGAGTTGGGGCTTGGATTAATAACACACTGTGAGATCATGACCTGAGCCAAAATTAAGAGTTGGATACTTAACCAACTGAGCCACCCATTGCCCTTGTCCTCTCTGTTATTATAGTCATGAACTGCATCTTTACAGATTGCATGCCTATTAGCACAGATTTATAATAAATTTTTTTGCATGTGCTTTAAATAATATAGGAGGAAAGAAGGTGTTATAACATTAACAGAATGCAATAATACAGGCTTTATCTTTACCCATGTAACCATTAACAGTTTTTTTTAATGTTTTATTTATTTCTGAGAGAGAGAGAGAGAGAGAGAGAGAGAGAGGCAGAGTGAGCAGGGGAGGGTCAGAGAGAGAGGGAGACAAAGAACCCGAAGCAGGCTCCAGGCTCCTCTGAGCAAGCTGTCAGCACAGAGCCCAACAAGGGGCTCGAACCCACAAACCGTGAGATCATGACCTGAGCTAAAGTTGGACGCTTAGGGGACTGAGCCACCCAGGTGCGCCTCCCCCCCTCCAATGTAACAATTCTTACCAGAGTTCTTTATTTTTTTGTATGACTTCAAGTTACTGTTTAGTGTCCTTTCAGGCCAGCCAGGATTCCCTTAAGCATTTCTTGTAGGGTGGGGGTACTAGTAACTAACTCCTTCAGTTTTTATCTGTGAATGTCTTAATTTTGCTTTCGTTTTTGAAAGAAAGTTTTGCCAGAATTCTCAGGTGACAATTATTTCCCCCTTTCAGTACTTAAAATATGTTATCCTATTGCTTTCTGGCCTCCCTGGTTTCTGATAACAAATTGGATATTAGTTGTACTGTGGATCCCTTGTATGTGTCAAGTTGCTTGTCCGCTGCTACTCGCAAAATTCTTTTTGTCTCTGTCTTTCAAATTTTTGACTGTGTGTCTCAGTGTCAGTCTCTTTGAGCTTCTAGTACGTGGAATTCATTAAACTACTTGGATGTGTAGATTCAGTCTTTAATCAAAGTTGGAAAGTTTTTGGGCAGTATTTCCTCCAGCATTCTTTCTGTCCCCTTTTTGCACATTCTCTCATCTCTGTCTGGGACTCCCAGAGAATGATGGTATTCTTCCCAGTGTTCCCGAGATCATTTAGGTGATGTTAATTTTTCTTCTCTTCACAATGTTATTTCAATAATCCTATAGTTTGCTGAAATTTTTTCCTTCTGCTTCTCAAATCTGCTGTTAAAGCCCTCTAGTGACTTTTTCATTTCAATTATTTTACTTGTCGGCTCCAGAGCTTCCATTTTGTAATTTCTACATCTTTATTGATATTTTCATTTTATTCATATATTGTTTTCCAGGCTTCATTTTTTTTTTATTTTTAAAAATTTTTTGGTTTTTATTTATTTTTGAAAGAGAAAGAGAGTGGGTGGAAGAGGGGCGGAGAGAGAGGACAGAAGATCTGAAGCAGGCTCAACATCGACATGAGAGCCTGACGTGGGGCTCAAACCCACAAACCACAAGATCATGACCTGAGCTGAAACTGGGTGCTTAACTGACTGAGCTTCCCAGCTCCCTCTCCAGATTTCCTTTATATCTTTGTCTATGGCTTCCTTTAACTCTTTGAACATATTTAAGACAGCTGTCTTAAAGTCTTTGTCTCCTATATCCAGTGTCTGGGTTTCCTCAGGGATAGTTTATGTCAATTTTTTTTTCATGCAAGTGGACTATGCTTTCCTGTTTCTTTTCATGCCTTGTAATTTTGTTGTTGTTGAAAACCAAAAATTTTGAATAGTATAATTAGGTAACTCTGGAAATCAGAATCTTCTCTTCTCCATGACTTTCTGTTCTTGATTGTTTAGGTAAGCAGTTGTCGTTCTTGTTTAGTAGCTTTTCCAAACTATCTTTGCAAATACTGTCTTTGGTGTCGTGTGGTCACTGAAGTCTCTTTTCTGTTATTTCAGCAGTTATCCAAGAAGGCTGACATTTCCTTAAACACCCAAGGCCAAAGGAAAAAGAAAAACAATACTCACCTGATATTTGTAGACTGACACTGAGCTAGGGCGCTCCTTCAACACCACACCAACTTGCCTCCAACTCTGCCTTAGCCTTTACCTCCAACTCTGCCTTCCTGTTTGGATGGAGCTCAAAAATTAGGCAGAGGTACAAGCCAATGGTCATCTCAAATCTTTTCTGGCCAAACCGATGGCCCTAGGCATGTGTTGAACTTTGCAGTCGCCCTTCAAAGCCCTTATTCCCCCAAGAATCTTCCTCCACAGCCTCTTTCCAGGGCTGGATCTTCCCAGGCTTTGCTACCTCTGCTGTCTCTTGGCTTAGGTGGCTATGAGGGTATATACCTTTAAATGTTTTTGTCATCTGTCTCCTGGATAGTTGCTCCAGCCCAATGGGAGTAAAACAAAAGTCAGCCTCTATGCTGATCACCAGGCAGACCAAAATGCATTAGTACCATTTTTTGAGAACAGAATTCACATTGTCCCCATAGCACCAGCAAGATGCACCTTGATTTCAAGCTGCCATTTCCATAGCCATCACTTAGCTGGGGAATGTAGATAGGTGGGCAAATAAGAATATAATGTTTTCTTGTTGAAGTTTAACAGTCTGTTTCTTCACTAAGCACCTTTCTGGTTGCTGTAAGATTACACTTAGATTTCAGAGTTCCAAAGAAGTGGAATCTGTCAGTTTTTGTCAGCTTACTGGTTGCTTCAGTGGAAGGATGGATTCTCAGATCTCTCCACTCTACCATTTCCATGATATCACTCTTTATAACTTTTTAAAAAATCATGAATGGATGTTGGAATTCATCAAATACTTTTTCTGCATCAATTGATATAATCATATAATTTTTCTTTTTTAGCTTAGTGTATTACATTGATTTTTCAAAATTTGAACCAGGCTTACAAATTTGAAATAAATCCCACTTGTTCATAATGCATACTTCTTTTTATACATTTTTGTGCTCACTTTGCTAATATTTCATTGAGAATTTTTGCATCTATGTTCATGAGAGATATTTGCCTGTAGTTTTCTTTTTTGTACTTGTTTGGTATGGTTTTGATATCAGAGTGTAACTGCCCTCCCAAAATGAATTGGGAAGTGTTCTTGACTCTTCTGGAAGAGATCATGTGAAATTGGTGTTAATTCTTTAAACAATTGGTAGAATTCTCCAATGAAATCATCTGGGACTGTAAATTTCTTTTTTGAGGTGCTATTTAAACAAATTCGATATTAAAAATTGGCATAAGGTTATATATTGATATAATCTATTTCATCCTGGTTGAGTCTGGTAGTCTGTGGTTTTTGAAAAGGAATCCATTATTTCTAAGTAGTCATATTTATGAATGTAATGTTTCCTGTAGTGTTCCCTTATTATCTAAGTGGCTGCTGCATATGTAGTGATACCCCATGTTTTATTCCTTATATTGGTAATATATGTTTTCTCTCTTAATTTTTGTCAGTCTTACTAAATTTTAACAATTCTATTGATTTTAAAACAAACCAGTCTCTTATTTTATTGATTTTCTCTACTGCTCTCTTATTTTCAATGTAATTAATTCCTGCTCTGATCTATAAGAATTCCTTCCTTTTACTTATTTGGACTCAATTTCCTCTTCTTTTGTCAGTGCCTTAAGCAAAACATTATTTTACTTACTTCCTTCAGTTTATTTATTTAAGTAATGTTTACACCCATCTGGGGCTCAAACTTATGACCCCAAGATCAAGAGATAGAAGCTCCACTGACTGAGCCAGCCAGGAACTCCACCTTAAGTAAACATTTAGATTAGTGATTTGAGTCCTTTTGTCATGTCTAATGTAAGCATTTAATGCTACAAATCTCATTCTCAACAATGTTTTAGCTTCATCCAACAAATCTTGGTAGGCTGTATTTTTATTTTCAGGCAATTCTATTTTAAAATATTCTTTGAGATGGGACACCTGGGTGGCTCAGTGGTTAAGCATCCAACTTCCGCTCAGGTCATTATCTCGTGGTTTGTAAGTTCGAGCCCCACAATAGGCTCTGTGCTGACAGCTCAGAGCCTGGAATCTGCTTCAGATTCTGTGTGTGTGTGTCTCTCTCTGAACTGCTCACACTGTCTCTCTCTCTCTCTTTCAAAAAATAAACATTAAATATTTTTTTTTAATTTCTTTGAGATTTCCTCTTATGCATGGTTATTTTTTTTTTCTTTCTTTCTTTTTTTTTTTTTTTTTTTTACAAATAGTTTATTGCCAAATTAGTTTCCACATAACACCCAGTGCTCATCCCCACAAGTCCCCTCCTCTGCATGGTTATTTTAAATCGTGTTGTTTAATTTCTTTGTGGTTAGAGACCATCTTATTGTCATTCTAACTAATAATTTTTAGTTTGATCCCAATAAGGCCAGAAAATATACACTGTGTGATTTCAATTATTATACATTTGTGAAGGTTTGTTTTCCTTTTCTCTTCTCTTTTTTTTTTTTTTTTTTGAGAGAGAGAGCATGTGAGCACGTGCATTCATGAGAGAGAGCAAGTGTGCGCGTGAGTGCATCAGCATGGGGGAGGGACAAAGGAAGAGACTAAATCTTAAGCAGACTCCACGCTCAGTCCAGAGCCCAAGTGGGGGCTTGATCTGATCTAATGACTCTGAGATTATGACCTGAGCTGAAATCAAGAGTTTGATGCTTAACTGACTGAGCTACCCAGGTGCACAAAGGTTTGTTTTAGGACATAAGATGTAATAGATCTTGGTAAATGTTCCATGGACAAACAAAAAGAAATGTGTATTGTTATTACTGGGTGGAGTGATAGGTCACTCTTTGACTAGTTGTGTTGTTCAAATCTTCTCTATCCTTGTTTGTTTTCTATCTAGTAATTGTTAAGGGATCTTGAATTCCCTAATGATAACTGAAGTGTTGGCTATTTTTCCATTCAGTTTTATCAGTTTTTGCTTCAGGTATTTTAAAGCTCTGTTTGGTGCATACACATTAAAGATCATTATGTTTTCCTAGTCTATTGATCTTATTATGTATTATTTCCTGTTATCATCTCCATTCTACTTTAGTAATTTTCTTCACTCTACCATCTACTATTTCAGACATTAATATAGACACCTATTCCTTTTAAAAATTGATATTTGTGTAGTATATGTTTTTACAAACTTTTATTTTAATCTAGCTGTGTCTTTGAATTTGAAATGAGTTTCTTATAAACAGTATATGATTAGGTCATGTTTTTTAGTCATTCTGCTTATCTTCCTCTTTTGATTGGTATATTTAGACCACTTGCATTTAAGGTGATTATTGATATGCTAGCATTTAAGCTTCCCATTTTATTATTTATTTTGTCTTTGTTTTCTCTGGTTCTTGTTCCTCTTTTTCTCTTTTCTTGCCTTCCTGTGAGTTACCTGAACATTTTTGGGGATTTATCTGTATTTATTTGTGGTATTTTGAGTGCACAGATGTGTATGTTCTTATAATGTTTCTTTCTTTCCTTCCTTTCTTTTCTTCTTTCTTCCTTTCTCTTCTTCCTTTCTTTCCCTCCCTCCCTCCCTCCCGCCCTCCTTTCTTCCTTCCTTCCTTCCTTCCTTCCTTTCTTTCTTTCTTTCTTTCTTTCTTTCTTTCTTTCTTTCTTTCTTTCTTTCTTTCTTTCTTTCTTTCTCTTGCTTTCTTTCTAGAGTGTGAGCAGAGGAGGGGCAGAGAGAGAGAGGGAGAGAGAGAATACCAAATGCCAGCACAGAGCCTGCTTGATGCAAGGTTGGATCTCACAAATCATTAGTTCATGACCTGAGCTGAAATCAAGAGTCAGATGCTTAACTGAATGAGCTACCCAGGCACCCCTGTATGCTTTGTAGTGGTTGCTTTGGTATTAAAAAGCACATATGTGACCTATCACAGTCTATTATAATCAACATTTTACCATTTTTGAGTGGAGTGTGACAATCTACTTTTAATCATCATTATCTTGAATATCAGATGGTGTTATAATTTTGTTCAGTTGTCAAATATGATTTATAAATGTTATGATTTATAAAATATGCCATTGTATGATTAATAACATACTTTTGTATGTATTTATATTTCTGGTTTTTCTGTTCCTTCTTCCTTCCTAATACGAGATATTTTCTTTTATGATTTCTTTTCCAGTCTTTAAGAATAGATCTGTTAGCAACACACGAAATGATGCTCAGCATCCCTCCTCATCAGGGAAATACAAATCAAAACCACACTGAGATACCACCTCACGCCAGTCAGAGTGGCTAAAATGAGCAAGTCAGAGAACTCTAGATGCTGGCAAGGATGTGGAAAAATGGGCACCCTCCTACACTGTTGGTGGGAATGTAAACTGGTACAGCCCCTCTGGAAAACAGTGTGGAGTTTCCTCGGGAAATTAACAATAGAACTCCCCTATGACCCAGCAATAGCACTGCTAGAAATTTACCCAAGGGATACAGAAATGCTGATGCATAGGAGCACATGTACCCCAATGTTCACAGCAGCACTCTCAACAATAGCTAAAATATGGAAAGAGCCTAAGTGTCCATCAATGGACGAATGGATCAAGAAGATGTGGTTTATCTATATGATGGAATACTACATGGCAATGAGAAACAATGAAATATGGCCATATGTAGCAACATGGATGGATCTTGAGGGTGTTATGCTGAGCGAAATAAATCAGGCAGAGAAGGACAAATATCATATGTTTGCACGTATAGGAGGATTAGGAGGAACTTAACAGAGGACCATGGGAGAGAAGAAGGGGGGAAATGGTGGGGGAAAGGGAGAGAGGCAAACCATGAGAGACTCTTGAATGCTGAGAACAAACTGAGGACTGATGGGTGTGGGGGGGAGGGGAGAGATGGGCATAGAGGGGGGCACTTGTGGGGATGAGCACTGGGTGTTATATGGAAACCAACTTGACAATAAACTATTTGGAAAAAAAAAAAAGAATAGATGTTAGCAACAACTTCTTTTAATTTTCTTTCATCTGAGATTGTCTTTACTTCCCCTTTATTCCTAGAGGATGATTTTGCTGGATGTAGGCTCTGCAGTTGATAGTTCTTTTCTTTTAATATTTAAAAAGTGCTGTGCCACTTTCTTCCATGCTCCATGGTTTCAGATGAGAAATCCACTGATATATTGATGTTGTCCTACAGGCAATGAGTCATTTCTTTCTGGATTCTTTCAACAGTTTTTCTTTGTTATTAGTTTCAAGAATTTTAATTATGATGTATCACGGAATGGATTTCTTTAGGTTTGTCCCATTTGGGGTTTGCTCAGCTTCTTGAATATGTAAGTTTGTGTAAAAATATGGGAAATTTTCAGCAATTATTTTCAGCAATTATTTCTGAATTATTTCTGAAATTTTCAGCAATTATTTCCTCAAATATATAGAATATATATACATACATACATACATACATATGTATATATATTTGGTTCAAGACTCTTCCTCCCTTACCCCCCCTGCATGGGACTTTAATAATACAAATGTTGGTTATTTTGTTATTGTTTCAGGTCCCTGAGGCTCTATTCAGTTCAGTTTCCTCTAGTTTACTTTCCTGTCTGTTTTTCATATTGAATGAATTCTACTGATCTTTCCTGAACAACAGTGATTCTATCTTCTATTATCTGCACTATACTTTTGGGTCCATCCAGTAGAATAGTTGTTTTATTTCTGTTATTATATCTTACAATTTTATAATTCCCACTTGGTACTTTATAACTTCAATCTCTTTGCTGAGATACTCCATTTTTCTCCAGCCACTTCAAGAGACTTTATAGTAAGTTACTAAAGTAATTTAATTTCAACTTACGATTCATGTATGTTGACTTTAGTTAATCGTCTTATTCAGGTTGTGATTTTCATGGTTCTTGTTGTGACTGATACCTTTTATGGTATGCTGAACATTTTGTCTATAATATTATTAAGCACTAATATTTATTGAAAATATACTTCATGCCAAACATTGTATTATATACTACATACATTATTTCATTTAATGAGACTAGGATACTGAAGATAAATTTTGCTGAAATAGTTTGGATAAAAAACATAACCAAATACACAGATGCTTGTGGAAATATGGAGAACTTGGAGTAAATATAAAAAGGTTAGGGGTAGAGATGAGAGTCATACTGTTTTGTTTGTTTGGTTTTTTTCCTAGCATATATTGGATTGAACAGATTTTTTTTCCCTTCTAGTCTTTTGCCATCTTTATAGAAGATAGAAAAACTCTCAATGCCCCTTTATAGTATGACAAATGTGATTTATAACAGCATCATTATTTCATAACTGAAAATGCTGTTTGTTCTTCTGGGAAGATAAATACATCAGAATTCACTTGTAGCTCAGGAGGACAGTGGGTTGCTATAACAACCAGGAAAAAATGGTGCAATAATAAATAGCTTTCTCTCAAAGATAGATAATTCAGTAAAGGATGAGATCTATAAATGCAGGTGTTTGTCATATAAATGCAAACAACCACCAAACACATTCATTTATTTTTTCAATAGTGAGCACCAACTCCATGTATGATGCAATGCTAGGAACAGGTTAAAAAAATAAACATGGCCTCTCTTATGATGGAGTGCACATTCTAGTGCAGGAGATAGAAAATAAAGAGTATATACATCAATACAGTAATATTTCCGACATGTGAGAAAAGCCCTGTAGGAAATAAAACAATGGACCCTGATACTCGATAAAGCAGAGAACTACTGTTCTCTCTATATTTCAGTATAGAATATAGATATATTATAAATAGTGACTTTAAGTATATCATAAACTTTAGTAAAGTGGAGAAATAGAGAATGGAGTCTTACAGTTTATCAATAAAAAATATTTAAGAAACAAAACTGCTGGGGCACCTGGGTGGCTCAGTTAGTTAAGTGTCCAATTTTAGCTTAGGTCATGATCTCACAGTTTGTGGGTTCGAGTCCTGCATTTGGCTTTGTGCTGATAGCATGGAGCCTGCTTCAGATTCTTTGTATCCCTCTCTCTCTGCCCCTCCCCTGCTCTTTCTTTTTCAAAATAAATAAACATTAAAAAGAAACTAAGGGAAAAAAAGAAACAAAATTGCTAACTGAAGCATTATTATTATTTTGACTCAAATTCCTCCAAATT